TATATATATATATATATATATATATATATATATATATATATATATATATATATATATATATATATATATATATATATATATAGTGTAAAGGAGATGAGAAATACAATATAAAATATATTGTTTCAACTTATTCTTAAATTTTTAAAATTTTATTTGTTCCAAGTTTTGTGGTAAAAATAAATAAGGCAAGAACAATAGTATGTATATAATATATTCAAGTTGGTTTAGTGTATAAAATAATACTAATGGAAAAAAGATGTAATATTTCTTAGTTTTTAGGCAAAATATGGGATTTCCCGATCCCAATCCCGATTCCCAAAATATTTAGGGATACCGATATAATCGAGATTTAATAGTTTGGGACGGGATTGGGATTTAAAATTTCTATCCCGAATCCCGAAATCCCGATCCCGAAAATCCCGAATTCCCGAAATCCCGTCCCGAACTCACCCCTAAAGACCACTATTAACAAGGCCCAATCACCTTCAAATAAGGTTTGGGCCCAACAATCTCATCTAAGCTATAAATAAATGTTTGAACTCATTCCTTAAGGTACGTTCTATTATTGACAAACAAACTAGAGTTTTATTCTCTATAACATCTCCACGATCTATACATCTGACTTGAGCGTCGGAGGGGTTTCCGCCGGATTAACCCCCGGCTTAGTTCACGTGTGTCTATTTCGTAGGGACCTCAAGATCATCAAGTTGTCAAGCTACTGATCCGTTTTGCTCTCCCAACTCGTTTTCTACACTATATATATATATATATATATATATATATATATATATATATATATATATATATATATATATATATATATATATATATATATATATATATATATATATATATATATATATATATATAATTTTGTAGGGACAAAATGCACTTCACCCCCTATAAATTTTCCAATTTTGTACTTTCCCCCTTAAAAATTTAGAAAAGAGACAATATTCCCTCGAAATATTGTTTTGATTGCAGTTTGCCCCCAAAACCATTTTTTTTGGGTGCATTGTGAAACAAAAACAACATTATAAAGGGGCAATGTGCAACAAAAATAACATTTAAAGGGGCAACGTGCATAAAAACACACCCAATTTCAGTTAATAGTCTATCAGAATTTTGCTAACAAGGCAATGTGGAACAAGTATAACATTTTAAAGGGGACATTCACTTTTTCAAAACTTTGAGGAAGTAACGTGTGAAAATTAAAAATTCCAAGGGGGTGACATGCAATTTGCCTAATTTTGCAGCCCTGGAAATGAATTTGAACTTGAGTTATTTGACTTTGTGTTCTTTCATTCTAGCGATTAGTCCACACTCATGAAGTAAATATTTAACATTTATACTTTTACTAAACTTGGTTGTTGTTGATGTAAAAGGTTTTTAACGTGGTCCGCAAGTCTGATCTAGCTGGTGGAGTAAATAGAGTTTTTAATATTTAAAATATTCGATCTCGCTCGTTATGCATCTTAAGTCAAAACTCGTTGAGCAAGACTTGTTCAGTGCAGTTTACACCTCTCATGTAATTTACGTGCTATTTCATTAGAGCATATTTTTTAAGTTTTAATTTATTTGTTTATTTTTATTTTAAATATAATTAATATAAAATTAAATGATAATTATATATATATATATATATATATATATATATATATATATATATATATATATATATATATATATATATATAATTAAAAAAAATAAATTACGTGTCATTTTTTTCTATTTCAAATTTTTATTATAATTTATAACAACAAAATTCTAATAATATCAATAAAAAAATACCTAAAATGGGCTCAGACCCGACTCAAGCCCTGAAAAAATTACTTGAAGAGCTCGAGCTCGTCAACATAGATCACCAAAACAGCCAAATTCACATCGTCTACAGTCTGCACTCCTAGTTCGAACTAATGGATTGGAACCACTAGTTCAACCGGTCGGGTAAAACCCAACCTTCAACCCGGCTCTTATAGGCACAGTCCCGGTCATGATTCCGGGTCAAAATTTGTTAGACCACAACCCGGTTCGTTTTATCCACTTTTGATAAAATAATAAAATATTGATTTTAGTCTTAAGGTTAGGCTGATTGCAAGAGGTGCAAAAATGTAATTTCACACTAAATTTCTCCTTCCCCATCTCTCTCACTTTCTCTCTCATATATATTTTCAAGCTTTCTCTCTCATCGCCAATACGCCCCACCCCTTCCACCTACTCAAACCCCTTCCACCACCGCCTCCGCCTCCGCCTCCGCCAGCCGCTTAATTTCTCTTCTCTCTACTCATTTGGAAAACAAAATTAATTAAATAAATTGATCTCTTCCCAGCTCGCCCCTCCAAACCCCGGTGAACTGTAAACCAATTTTTTTATTGACCATTTCACCCTCGATGATTTTATACATTTCTACCTGTAATTTTTTCTTGTAGCTTTTTTTCCTCATTTTGTAGTGCTCGATCACTAACTTATTCTCTCAGTTCGCGAGGATCTGAGGTTCATACCAAGTAAGATAAATTTTCTCTATTTTTTTTTTAATTTTTTGATTTAATTTGTTCAGATAAATGGGGGAAGGTCAAATTTTGGGATTTTTCCGAGGTTTATTCGATTGGGTATGACATGTTGATCGCTTGATTAAACCCTTGATTGTTTTAGTTTTTGGATTCTTCAGTTTGTCTGATTTTACAGGGTTTTGATTTGTTTTTTCCGATGTAGTTTTGTATCAATTGGATTTTTTTTTTTTGTGTAATTCCTCTATTTTTCCTTGAAGCTAATTGAATGAAAAATGGTAACTTCTCAACTGAAATTTAGAGGGTTTATTGATTCTCAGCTGTTTTTTTTTCCTTTTTCTGTTGAATGTATTTGCATGTTTATGTGGATCGGATCACTTATTCGGCAAATAATGGCACATAAAAAATACTGAAAATCGGAAGCTTTTCGTGTTTGATGGTTCGTTGTTTTGGTCTGTTGCTCGTACATTTATTGTACTTGTCAATATTTATCTACATAATCAAATAGATCGGAACTACTTGTTTGAATTTTAAATTTCATTGGCTTACACTCGATGGTTCCATGATTAGAATGAAAATAAATATCAGCTAAACAAGAGTAAACAGATTTTGTTCGTTGAGAAATTGACAACATTTATCAGTTATTCCAAAGTTGTCTACATTTATTGGTTATCCAAAGTTGTCGATTTATTACCATTGAGTTGAATTATGTCTCCTCGGTACGTAGCTGTTCGTTTAGAATCTTTTGTGGATTGCATGCAGATTGATTGTTTCTCTCAGTAAATCTTCCTTAACTAGTTAGCACAACTAATATCTTTATTTCCTTTTTATTGTTTTTCGTGTTTAGTAATGAAGAGGACAACTTACTACAATGCAATAGTACCTTCAGTGCAAGATCCATGGCCTATAAAAAAAGCGCTCACGCTTTCCGATGTTGACATCACACATCCATTCCTAACGTTATCTCGTCAGCAAGTCGAAACCTACATAGTCGTGTACATGACACCTCAGCAGCAGGAGCACTTGAGAGCTGAAGGGCAGGTTGGTCTTAACGCGCAAGATGACGACACGGGCGATATGTACGTAATGAAACTAAAATGGCGAGGGAGTTATTACAACCTCATCGGAAAATGGGGGAAAGTTGTCCGAGGCAAAGGTCTCTACGTAGGTCAAGAAATCAAACTCCGCTGGTTCAATGGCTGCCTCCACTTCTCTGTCCCGCAGCAGCAGATTGTTACGGTGGTCCAGCAGGTGCCACCTGTCAGAATGGTGGCGGCTTCCTTAGTGCACGATCACTGGCCAATCAGAAAGGTTCTAACATCGTCCGATGTCGACCCTAACCACCCTTTTCTCCCTCTGCCTCGTAAATTAGTGGAGGAGAATATTCTTATCCATTGGGTCCCACAAGAAAGGGAGAGACTGAGAAAAGAAGAGCAGGTCTCTGTGAATGCTAGGGATTACGACACGGGCGATACGCACGAAATGAAATTGAAGTGGCGCGGAAATTATTATAATTTAATCGGGAAATGGGGGAATATAATTAGGCTTAAAGGGCTAGGTGTGGGGCAAGAGATAAGAATACGCTGGTCGAATAATTGCTTGTACTTTTCTGTACCGGAGGAGCGTTATGTGGCGACTGCATCGGGGGGGCATGATAATTGGCCGGTCAAGAAAGCTTTGACTTTATCCGATGTGGATACGAATCACCCGTTTCTAACTTTGCCCGGTAAAGCGGTGGAGGATCATATTCTGTTCTATTGGACACAACAAGCGCGTGAGCAGCTGAGGAACGAGAGGCAGGTTGGTATAAATGCGCGAGATAATGATACGGGGGAGTTGTATGTAATGAAGCTGAGGTGGCGCGGGAGTTATTACAATCTTATCGGGAAATGGGGTAAGATTATTAGAGAGAAGAGGTTGCAGATCGGGAGGGAGATTAGAGTGAGATGGGATAACGGATGCTTGATATTTTCGGTTCCTCAGTGACGTGATTTGGTGGCGGGGGTCCGTTTTGGTGTAGATATACGGGGTGGAGAGGTTTTTTCGCCCCTTCTAATTTATGATTTTTATTATATTATATTTATTCATCGAAGAATGAATTCTCTCGAAAGATCCAAGAGGGCATCAAATTTCGTGGTGAAAACGAGGTTTTTGGTTATTGGCAGAAAGGTGTTGGGATGTTGATTAAAGAAAGAAAATCATGTTTTAATCTGGTGCAGTGTATGGTCACTGTATTTTACTATTTTAACTTTTTTTTTTTTTTGTAATATGTATATTAGATCTTCTTTTGTTTGTGAAATGCAGTCCAAATTCTATTTGTACTTTTACATAATTATTATATGAGAAGTAAAGTCAGCTTATTGAAATCCCTTGTTATGAAGTAGGTTAAATTCCACTTGCCCCTCGACTCTGACCTAAGAAGTGTTTTCAACTATTAGAGCTTTGGTCTGAGAAATAATTAAGAGTGCATCCAACAACACTTGTAAAACAAGTGTATACTAAATCGGAATGAATTAAGAGTGATTCCGTACAAGTGTATCCTAAATCGGAATGAATTAAGAGTGATTCCGATTCCGAGGCATTCCGAAATCGGAATGAATTTTTTATTTTCGGTTTTTTTGAAACCCATTTTCTACTTCCGAAATTATTTAAAAATTCTCCAAAAAAATCATTTCGATCCATTCCGTCCAATTTCCACCACTAGGAGTAACACATAAGAAACTACATAAACAAATAGATACTAAAGAAAATTGAACTAAATATATGAACATTAGAGTTTTGGTCTGAAATAAAATTAAGAGTGCATTCAACAACACTTGTAAAACAAGTGCATCTTAATTCAAAAATCCAACAAAATAACCTATTACAAACAAGTGCATATCTGAATTCAAAAATCCTACAAAATAACCTATTTAAGCATTAGCCAATTCTCCAGTCTTGCACATTCCACCTACTAGAATTCATTTTTGCACCAACAGATCCAAACTTGTTCAAAATATCAGGCCCACCTAGATGAACACCTGTATGAACAAAGAAATAATTTAGCTCTAAGGTTTGATGTAATATGAAATGACAAAAATAGAGAACCCATTCAGTTCGAAGAAAGACGACAAAGACGGGAATTAGCATAAACAAACAATCCGAAAAAATCACTAAATACTTACGATTTCATTCATGACGATAGAAATTAGCCAAAGTAATATTTGCATCGAGTATCAAATCCAAAGAGGCATTGACGGGCAACTCGAATCTAGCGTCGTTGTAAAACCAGAAAATTCCTCTATATTTCTCTCGTAACTGCTCAAGAGTCATATGAGAAGACCACCTATCAATTTCATCATTGTTTGCCGGCATTAAACCTGCCGGTGGTTGGGAACCCAAGGGATAGTCGGCTGCAAGTTGAACGCCATCCACGTTAGGTTGAGGTAGAAATGGATGGCCAAATGTGTGTTTGACAATCGAAACAAACTGGACGGTCTTCCAATGCAGATCCACAGTAGAACTGGTCCTTTGCCAATTGGTGAACCTAGCGATGCTTACATTCGAGCGGGCTTCTATCCTATCCAAGCGACCTACAATTACATTTAATGTATCTTGAATCGTTTGAAGTGTAGCTTCGTTCTCGATCGGAACACCAGACCTAGCCTGATTGACTCGGAGATGCCTAACATTTGCCATTCCTGGTGAAGGAGGAGAACCGGACAACATTAGTTTCGACTTTCGAATACAAGAATCGGCACAAATGTGAATCGTTACATTTTAGAAAGAAAAAAAACGTATCTTTATATTGAAACATGCATACTACAACAGAGCAAAAAGGTTTCCTAAATAGCCAAATTTTGTTCATAATAATCCACTACTGCATTCTATGTATTCATAACTTCACAACAAAAAAATCAAGAATATCAACTTCATACTAAAAAAATATAACTTTTTTAAAAAATTAATTTCGAGTAAAGGAATCGGCCATTTACAAAGATGGAACAAATACCAGCAATATTTTTTTTTAATTTAAAAAAATTCATCAATGGAGGGTTTGATTTTATTTTACCAAACACCCAAGTCCGTGTGTTCGATTGCGTAGGAAAAGAAATGGGGAAATAAAAGAAGACCAAAAATTAACCTTAACGGTGACTAGACGGCGGCGGAGTGGCAGAGAAGAACCGAAGAAGTGGGCGGTGCCACCGTGCCAGGCGAACGTCCGGTAGAAATTGTGTCGACGACTAGGGTTTAGTTCAAAAATCAAAGAGGTGAAATGTGTTACAAATATCTCTCACAAAACTGGGTGAATTGCGTTTTGCACCCCAACATTAACAGTGTTTGGCGTTTTGCACCCTAACATTTGAAAATTGGCAATGTCCATCCTCACAAAATATATCTCATGCCAAAATGCACCCTTCCTCGTGATATTTTAGCCAAAACTCAATAATATATCGTGATATTTTAAACATTTGAGGAATTTTCATTCTTTATGTTTTGTTTTCTTACTTAATATTTATTTTAATTATTTTACTTGTATAGAAATTTATAAACAAACATAACTGTCTAACTGGTGATTTATTCCATATATTTCGCATCGAATTAAGAAAATTGTATATAAAATTTATAATTTTATTTTAATTTTCAAAGTAATTCAAAAAATCCTAATTTTTCATAAAATTAATATACATTAAAAAAAATAGAATGAGCACTGTTGGACATGATTAACTGTTTTTAAATGAGTAGTTATATGAATTAATTAAAATAAGGCTTTACATATTTTTTTTTTCTTAAACTAAAAACTATAGTATACCATCAAGCACGAAAATCCCTACAAAAGTTAATGTATGGTGATGTGTTGATTTTTGGGTAAAAAAATCATAAGGAATTGATGTGGGGTGCATAGTGCCATGAGAAATATAATTTCAGGGTGGAGTTTGCTAATTTTGAAATATTGGGTGCAAAATGCAATTCACCCTCTAAAACTCACAACAACTCTCAATAATCCTATCCAATCCTATAATCTCATCAACTTTGAAGATAATTTCTACATATGTCAATTATAATTAGTTTATTCCATTAATTATATGTTAAAAAGCCCCGAAAAAAATGAACTATTCATTACTTATTACTTAAAAATTATTAATCAGTTATTAGCTAATTATTTACTAAATAACTATTAATCATTAATTATGTATTTATTGATTAATTATCAATCAATTAATAATTAATTATTTGGACGTGAAACAGTGGTTCTCACGCTCAATATGGGTGTGGATGGTGTTTTTCCGTTCCTGATTTAGGCATAAAGTATGATATTTCATACATGTTTTGGATGTGGATAGCTTAAAATAAGGACTTTTAAAATCCTAGAGAGGGAATATATAGTGGATGCTTGATATTTTCGGTTCCTCAGTGACGTGATTCGGTGGTGGGGGTCCGTTTTGGTGTAGATAAACGGGGTGGAGAGGTTTTTTCGCCCCTTCTAATTCTTGATATTTATTCGTCGAAGAATGAATCCTCTCGAAAGATCCAAGAGGGCATCATAATTTCGTAGTGAAACGAGGTTCTTGGTTATTGGCAGAAAGGTGTTTCTTGAAGTTTGAGATATTTATATTGAGGAGAATGCTACCAACTGGAATTTCAAATGTTGGGATGTTGATTAAAGAAAGAAAATCATGTTTTAATCTGGTGCAGTGTATAGTCACTGTATTTTACTTTTTTACCTTTTTATTTTTTTGTATTATGTATATTAGATCTTCTTTTGTTTGTGAAATGCAGTCCAAACTCAGTTGTACTTTAACTTGAAATGCTTCTGCTGAAAAATATGAGAGTAGGAATATATAATTAATATATGCTTTTGATTAATGTTTTTCTACTTGTACTTTTACATAATTATTATATGAGAAGTAAAGTCAGTTTATTGAAATCCCTTGTTTATAAAGAAGGGTAAATTCCACTTTTCCCCGTCGTACTCTGACATGAACTCGCTTTATCCCCTTATACTCTCAATTGCATCGATTTACCCCTATACTTGTACAATTGTCCCAATTTAGCTCTCTCCATCAATTTTCACAATTTTCACTTTGATACCGTTTGGTCAATGTACGTAAATCATAAATTCAGAAACGCCACTTCTTCCTATTACACTTACGTTTCTTCTTCTCCCAATTAACCCCACTTCCCCCTTCCAAAAAAATAACAAGGATCGTATTATCCGCTGATTCTTGCAAGTACTAATTTAGTTTTAGATTAGTCGATTTTCGTTGTAAGCGTATTCAACTATTAGAGCTTCCGTCTGAAATAATTAAGAGTTCATCCAACAAAACTTGTAAAACAAGTGTATCTAAATCGGAATGAAGTAAGAGTGATTCCGATTCCGAGGCATTCCGAAATCAGAATGAATTTTTTATATCTGTTTTTTTTGGAACCCATTTTCTACTTCCGAAATAATTTGGAAATTTTCAGAAAAAGTCATTTCCGATCTATTCCGTCCGATTTCCACCCCTATGAGTAATAAATACATAAGAAACTATATAAACAAATACCAAAGAATATTGAACTAAATATATAAACATTAGAGCTTTCGTCCGAAATAAAATTAAGAGTGCATCCAACAACACTTGTAAAACAAGTGCATCTGAATTAAAAAATCCTACAAAATAACCTATTACAGCATTAGCCAATCTTCAGTCTTGCACATTCCCTCCTACTCGAACCATGTAATATGAAATGACAAAAATAAAGACCCCATTCAGTTCTAAGAAAGACGGGAATTATCATAAACACTGCGAAAAAAATCACTAAATAGTTACAATTTCATTCATGACAAAAGAAATTAGTCAGGGTTTTATTTGCATCGAGTATTAATTCCAAAGGAGCATTGTTAGGCAATTCAAATCTAGGGTCGTTGTTAACCCAAATAAATTCCTCCCTTAACAGTTAGACGAGTAGACCACCTATCAATTTCGTTGTTGTTTGCCGGCATCAAATCTGCTGGCGATTGAGTACCCAGGGGATAATCATGTGCAGATTGAACGCCATCCACATTAGCTTGAGGTAGAAACAGATGCCAAAAGCTATATTGACAATCGGTACGAATTGGACGACTGTCCAATTTGTTTCGATTGTCAAATATACATTTGGACATCACTTTCTACCTCAATAATATGGATGGCTGGCGTTCAATTTGCACATGATTATCCCATGGGTTGTCAGCCGTCTACATTTTAGAAAAAAAAAAAACATATCTTTAGTGAAAAATGCATACTCCAAGCAAAAAAGTTTCCTATAAAAATATATACTATAAATCAGAATATTGATAGCCAAATTTTGTTCATAATAATCCACTACTGCATTCTATGTATTCATAACTTCACAACAAAAGAATCAAGAATATCAACTTCATACTAAAAAATTATAACTTTTTTAAAAAATTAATTTCGAGTAAAGGAATCGGCCATTTACAAAGATGGAACAAATACCAGCAATATTTTTTTTTAATTTAAAAAAATTCATCAATGGAGGGTTTGATTTTATTTTACCAAACACCCAAGTCCGTGTGTTCGATTGCGTAGGAAAAGAAATGGGGAAATAAAAGAAGACCAAAAATTAACCTTAACGGTGACTAGACGGCGGCGGAGTGGCAGAGATGAACCGAAGAAGTGGGCGGTGCCACCGTGCCAGGCGAACGTCCGGTAGAAATTGTGTCGACGACTAGGGTTTAGTTCAAAAATCAAAGAGGTGAAATGTTTTACAAATATCTCTCACAAAACTGGGTGAATTGCGTTTTGCACCCCAAAATTAACAGTGTTTGGCGTTTTGCACCCTAATATTTGAAAATTGGCAATGTCCATCCTCACAAAATACATCTCATGCCAAAATGCACCCTTCCTCAATTTCTTGTGATATTTTAGCCAAAACTCAATAATATATCGTGATATTTTACACATTTGAGGAATTTTCATTCTTTATGTTTTGTTTTCTTACTTAATATTTATTTTAATTATTTTACTTGTATAGAAATTTATAAACAAACATAACTGTCTAACTGGTGATTTATTCCATATATTTCGCATCGAATTAAGAAAATTGTATATAGAATTTATAATTTGATTTTAATTTTCAAAGTAATTCAAAAAATCCTAATTTTTCATAAAATTAATATACATTAAAAAAAATAGAATGAGCACGGTTGGACATGATTAACTGTTTTTAAATGAGTAGTTATATGAATTAATTAAAATAAGGCTTTACATATTTTTTTTTTCTTCTTAAACTAAAAACTAGGCGGCGGCAGAGTGGCGGAGAAGAACCGAAGAAGTGGGCGGAGGTGAACGTCCGGTAGAATGAAAGAAAATTGTGTCGACGAAGAATTAACGAGCAGTAAAACTAGAAGTTCACTAGGCCAAAACACAGTTCTGGCGACGTTAAAATTTGCGACTAAATAAAAATCGTCGCAATTTTGCGACGATTCCTATTACATTAGTCGCAACAGTTTAAATCCCGCTTTTGACTCAAAACCTTGGCGACGAAACACGAGTATCGTCGCTAGGTTGCGTCGAATCTGTCCATAAACGTCGCAACGAGAAAACAAAAATCTTTTTCATATATTTTTGAGACGAAAAAGCGACAAACGTCGCGAAAAGTAATTTTTTTTTTATTTTTAAAGTATATGTTAGCGACGAAAGTTATATAATCGTCGCAATTAGAATAATTTTTATTTTATTTATTATGTTACCTGCGACGAATTGTGACTAAACGACGCAAACCAATTGCATTTATTTCTTTTCCCGTTGCGTCGATTTAGGAAATAGTCGCAGTAGAATAAATTATTTTCATTTTATTATTTTTAATAAATATTGCGACGAATATGTCTATGAAACGTCGCTAG